TCATGCTGCTGCACAGTCAACCACAGAAAAGGTTTCTAAGATTTTCCTATAGTATGAATTCGAGGCTCACTCTTATACCATACCTGCCGTTATAAAGTCGACAAATGCCATGGATAGAGCACAACCAGGGGCCAGAGATTGTATCGGGTGAATGCCACACCATAGTGGACGAGTTTCAACGGCTTTGTAAAGGTTGCACTATCTCAAGAGTCTACCACGTAGGAAGTTCAAACAAATTTTCATAACCCATGGCAACCATGGAAAGAAGTTTTAAACAATTCCGGCATTATGTAGTCATCTCTTTGAGCAATGGTATCAAGTTAAATCTCGTCCAAACACCCCTTACATGCCATTACCGTCACGGTGATCTCGTACAAGCTCCACTTCCACTACTTGTGAAAAGCCGTGGAGTTGGCGGATTGTCTCGCTCCCTTCGCCGCCGATGTACTCCACCAAATCAACACTTCCACTTTTCAACCTAGAAAGGGTACCTCAAAATTATCGTGAGCTGTGCCTTCAATAAGTAGGGCATTAAACATTATCATCATTTTTGATAACGAGTGAGTGCATGTCCCATCCCATAGAGAACCAAAAAGTGGAAACGATCTCATCCTAGCCATGTCGCTTAGCCAAAAACAATTTTGCAAGGTTGATATCTACTATGCCTTTTGAATGAGAGCTTGGTAAACTGAAAAATATATTCGAGCAGTGATTTTGATACAAATTTTTAAAAAGAAATTCCACTTCACTTCATTTCTTTCCTATTTCATCGGACGACTGGGATCGAAATTCTATTTGGGGGGGGGGGGGGGGGGGGGNGGGGGGCACGACAATCTGAACCTTCCTCAGCAGTACTGAAGTGAAGAACTTCACATATCACCATCGCATTCAGATGCGTAATGCTTCAAACTGACATTATGATCCAGAATACAAGAGAGTGTGTGGCGCATTCCAATAATTTTGCTGTTGTACCGGGAAATTTTTTTTTCTTCGTTATCTGATGTGCGTCTGACGTGAACACCGAGGGGGCGGAAATCATCAATCTATTCATCGTTCAGAGAAATCGCCTTCAATATCTTTAGCGCCTCGATGTGTTTTCCAATTAAACGGCAAAATTTGTCATCAACACTTCAATGGGCTTTGACGCCTAAATTTCCTTGTTTGGCTCATCGGTAATACCATAAATGGTTGATTTGCTGCGGTCGATGGGCTCACAACTCTGGCAGATTCTGGGAAAGGAGGTTTGGAGGCAAAGGGGTAAAATCCGTTAACCCGAAATCGCTAACTGAGATTCACTCCGGAGTGTTTATCCCAGAAATAGGTCCCACATCGATTTCCTCGAGAATTAACACCCCATGGAAGAAGGGATTGTGAGGGTGATACTGCGCCATAACCGCCATCGCCATGGTTTTCTCTTCGAAGACAATTTTTAGGGATGTCCAACTTCAAAACACATCAGTATGGAGATGAGAAGTCAGTTTGAAGCGTCCGTTTAATGCTTTTAAGCTTACTGGGAACTGTTTTTGTTTTCGCCTACTTACATTTACTATTCTGTGTTCCCATCGAACTTTGTCGTCTGCCGTGACATAAACGTGGGAAACTCCGGGCTAACGAAATACTATAAACAGCGAGCATCCGAAATGGAAAAATCCTTCCCTCAGGGATTTATTGAGTAGTAACTGAATAAGGAACCAGTAGGAACCAGTAGGAACCAGTATGGAACTCCTTCCAGAGCAGCTTCGTTTCCTCTGATACTTCGGTTCTTTCAATTTTTGATGTTCGCATCGAACATTTGAAGCTCAACTGGCAGTGAGCCATCCAGGGTTGATTTTGGGGTATAATGAAAAGCACTTTCCATGGGTGGCTGAACTTTTTTCGGTTTTTTCCTATCTGGCACAATCGCCGCTTGAGAAGGAGATGGGTAAACAATGCCAGTTACTTTCTCTTTTTCCATGAGAAGGTCCGACAGTAAGGAGGGTTAGCTAGTTCGCACTTTTGATTTTTTTCCAAAATTAAAAAATCAAACCAAGAAATAAACAAAAGATTTGAAAAAGATCTTTGACTTGCTTTTTTCCTATCTCAGATGACTCAAAGTCACTTTTCCTTAATATGATATCGAAGTAATGAAGAAGTTGATTGAGATAATTGTAAAAGAGTACCTTAGGTTGTCACCGAATGTATGCTGCGCATCATTGCAGTTTTGCCACCCTCGTTCCAAAAATTTTTCCAAATGGGAGAAAAAAAAATGGAAAAATTTGATCTGAATAAAAAAAAGTTCCATTTCAGAATACGAGCGTCTATGTGAGCATTCTTTCGTTGATGTTCATTACATTCGAGCGATGGCGAGCAATCACTTGTCCATTGAAAAGCCCATTACAGGCGACTCGATACATTATTGCAGGTAAAAAACTTTGATTGAATAGTTTACATTGAATGGCCGCAAGAAGACCATTCCACCAAGGAATTAGGGAAATGAATAATTTGATTGTACGTAGTGGTGATGACCCATTTGGAATTACCACTCCGTTTCGAACACAGCAAAGGGTACCAGTTTGATGAATAGGATTGATCACACGCGCGTAAAATCAATACCCATCAAACGCTGTCACGATGCCACTCAAAGTGTGAGATGACCTTCAAGGATCGAGCGGAGTTGAAGGAGTGGGGAGAGGGTTGCACCAAGTGTAAACATTGTGCAAGGCAATATAAGCAAGTAACAAATTCTACCAGCATCTAGTAGGTTCGAGTACTTATTATTACTTCTTACTGTGCTTAATAGGAAATTTAGAAACAGATTTTTTTCACCACATTTTCAAGTTGGAAAAACGCCAAATTATATGACTGCGAGATGATCTCTGTGAGTCCAAAATAAACCAATTTTTTTACAGGCACATGGATTGTTGCGATGATTATGTCCTCACCGGAACCGTACACACTCCATTTGAAAAGTGCCGAATTCCGTCGGCCAAATTTTTCGTCGACTGTGAGTATTACTGCTTTATTTAAGGATTTTTCGAGTTTCTCCAAAAAAAACGGCTTATTCAAAATCATATAGATTAGGTTCATTATTTGGAAATGACAGTTTTTACCAACAGAGGAAGTTAGGAGAGTCTAAGTGTCACCCGTTCCTTGTAATGCGCCCCGCTTTCGACTTCGATGTGGAACAGTGGTGCTTTGTGGCTCGTACAATGACTTGCACTAGCGAGACGGTGTACAAGTCAGTCAATCCTTTTGCCCTCCCCATAAATCTGGTACTGATCAATCGACCCTAAGGGATGAAAGCTTCGGTTGGCCTAAGCGAGTATCGTTTCGGAATTCGATCCCCTAATCAGGCGTAATGATAGTGCGCCATTTGCCACTACACCACTTCCATCCAACAAACGAAATTATTCAAAAAATGGCAAAGCCCTATTCCTTATGCCCCATTCTTGATCAATTACTGTGGTCAAACCAAATGACCATCTCAAATCATTGCTCATGTAGGTTGCTGTGCCCATCATTCCGCCCAATCACTCACTACTAAGAAACAAAAATTTCGAAATAAAAATTTGGTCCAAAAATATTGTTTTTTCCTGGATTATGAAATATCAAGCGATGCGCCAAAAAACACTTCATTCGAAAACCTAGAAGCTCTAGAAAAATGTTGCTTTCACAGAGCTAATGGCACAAATATGAAAATTTCAAATTACCAGCCTGACAATTGGCCGAACAACTTTATATTGTAGCGGTTACTTTCATAATAGTATACATATACCCGAATTTATGAGCAGTTGAACTTATTACTTTCTGATACAGGATAGCAGTAGTACGAAATATTCATTTCAGTGGGGTACCCGATGCATTGCTTCGTGGTCAAGTGAAACGGAACAACAATATCAGATTGTACTGACACTATGCGCCTATTTGTCGCCCTTACTCTTCATTACGGTACTATGCCTACACATGAGCAGGACACTGAATAAATGCGAAATGTCGTGAGTTATCTATTACTTACTAGATAAAATACCGACCGTATGTCTAGACCTACACTTTTTTGATCGGGATCTACCAGACCAGTGAAAGAAGCCTCTGGGAAGGACCACATTTAGGGAATACGGTGGTGAAATGGGAGAGGATTGGAGATAAATCTTATAGAAATCTCCATGACATTACCGCTAAATTCAGTCTTCATTCACGAGAAACCAGGAAGAAAAACTCCCATAACTGAATGTGTATAGGGTGCTCCATGCACTCGAGGTGCTTTTGAATTGAAGGATGAAATTGGAGGCTTGAAGAGAGCCGTTTTCTGGTAAACACTAGCTTGTACTTTCACCCCGAAGAAGAACGTGCTCCTACAGTACCTCTTCCGCTATGTACTGTAATTTCGTGTTGAGATCTTTCCTCTGAGCGTAAGCAGTTAGCGCCATGTGGCCCAGCTACCTATCAACAGTATTGGGATCGAACTTCCGGTCGATTTACTACAGGTGACTGAATCCAACCATTCCCTTGGATGGCAGTTGGTATACCTGATTCAATGGGGGAGAAGAGGAGCACCGATTTCTACATTCCACAGTTCGAATTCTATAGCTCAAACACATAATTGAGCGCTGTGAGACTTTAAACGAATATCGAATGCATGGCGCAATCCACAAAATGACTTGTCAACGCTTAACATTCATTATGATCATTAAAGCTGGCAAAACAGTTAGACCGTTCGAAAGTGCGTGTTGTTTACAAATAATTACTGATTTCTAGTGTTGGCAAACGCCAAGCGGCAAATCGTAAAAAAGCGGTCCGAATGTTGATCGCTGTCGTCTGTATGTTCGCCTTGTCCTACCTTCCAGTACATCTACATAATATTGCTGCGTAAGTCCCTCTTATTCATCCACCATCGCTACCGTAATCCTCATGGTTTCGTTTCAGGACCTTCGACTTACTGGGTCGTGATTCTGACATCAACTGGATCTACATACGTAAGCTTCTGCCACGAGTATTCAGCTATTCGTCGAGCTGTCTGAATCCGGTCCTCTACAATTTTATGTGCAGTAAGTTTCCATACTTTAAACTCTCCCTATCCCTCCCCTCGTGAGAAATCCCATTTCTTCCCAAACATGGTTGACACCATAGAAATATGGCATCCTTGAGCGAGCATCCAGACCTATTGACACCAATGCAATGGCCTTTGCCACTTGAGCGATCCGGCAAGCGAACGAACGCTTCACTTATTTTTGTCAGTGAGGCTCAGAGGAACCAAGGAACTCTGAGCCTTTCTCTCTGGGAACGTTAACTCTGGTTTGATCACTTTCCATCAATCCTGTGCAAAATCGTGGGGCGCCCCTACACAGGTTAGTGCCCAGGCCAGGTCCTCAACCAGTCACAAGATGGGTTTATCCCATAGATCTATGATTTGACTACTATTGCGTTGAAGACCCTGATCTTTGATGCCCGAAGCCTCTGATATTTCCAGTCCGAAGACTCGAGGATTCCCCGTTCGGCTTTGTAACAATGACGCTCAGCATGTTTACTCTCTCCCTGACCCTAATAAACGTTACTAAAGTATCACAGATCCCTACATCGTTCATGTGAGTAGCACATCAAAAATCACATAGCCTTTCTCATCATGAGGGTACCTTAACCACTGATAAGACACATTGCTCTCCCTGGACTTCAGCACACAATCTCCTTTCTCTCCTATGAGGATTCTGGCCAACTGGCTGATTCTGACAATTCCAAAACTTCTAGTTTTTTTTGGAAAGTCATACACCTCAAAATATTCATTGATATTCATTGATTATTATATTCATTGATTTATTTGTTTATTCATTTATTAACCTTAGCTAATGAAAGTAAAACGAAACTCGGCTGCTTATGAATTCCCGCTAGGAATGTTACCACTCCAGCTTCTAGTTGAAATGAAATTCTGCAAATTTTGCCCACTGATATCACTTGATTATTCCCTTCGAAAACGGTGGTCACGTCAGAAAAGAGGGAGGAACTTTCAGTGGCCTGCTTTCACGGAAAAATCAAAACAATCCCTAAACGTCCAGTTTCGCACTACCTTCACCTATTGGAGCATAGTAAATATTTAAATATATATCAACAATAACAGCATAATAAAATTTAAAAGGTAAAGGATAAAGTTATTGGCTTCAATCAATTCCGACTGAGGGATGCGCCGCACTCGACTTCCATTCGGAATCGTAGTGGCGTAATGAGTACGTATGTGGCCTATACAATGACTTGCGGTAGCCAGGCGATGTACGAGTCAGTGCTTTTATCCTCCCAGAAGAGTCTGGTACCAACTAACCGACTCCGGAGGGATGGAAGGTTTGGTTGGCCTAGGAGGGTATCGATCGGGATTCGCACTCTTGACCGTACGTGTGAGATAGTGCGCCACTTGCCACTACACCACCTCCGCCTTAATAGTATAATAATAGTATAATAGTAACAAGAAATAAACAGCATATATTACACTATAATAAAATATAATCAATATTCTTAACATGATACAATATGAATAATCAGTCGTCGAAGATAGGCACTATCTGCGATGCATTCCAAAGTGTATTTTACGAAAAATCATCTTTTTCTAAGCAAATGGTCCATAGATCTAATCCTGTTGGGATCACTTCAGCCGTTTCACCTTCAGGTGGTAAATTGACTGTAAGAACCCACCTGGGAGGATAAAGTTCCTAATTGCACAACAGCCAGCCATAGAAATCTGCAGTATCGACCGAATGTTCTTTCAAATGCCCTTTTATAATTCTGAGTGAGTGTCACTCGCATGGCACAACCTAGAAAAGTTTTTAGGAATCTTATAAGCCTCACCCCTTCGCCCATAGTCTATCCTACCTTGCTGATGACTATCATGATGGTTCCATGCGCTTGAACAAGTTTAACACCCTCGAGCCAACTTCGAACTGACAAAAGGTCCCAGACCGGGATCCGATCCCATGTAACGGCGCCTCTAACAACTGCGCTTCTATGGAACTTCTCATCATTTCCCGGTAACAGCAGCTATAAGAACTCATTCCTAAAGTCCCTAGAACCCAATCCTTACAGAAAAGCAGCTTTCCTGTTTGGTTCATAATGACCTTTTGTATTCAAAACAAAAAATCAATTATCGATTGATTTATTTTTCACAACAAAAACGAGAGAGAAGAACACCTTACATACACGTACGAATCCCGTCAATGCGATAATACCGTTCATCTATTCATAAAACTACATTGATGACAACAAAATACGGTCAGAAATACAGTAATTTTTCCTGCAATCGGAAAAAATCGACGTCTTTCCTGGACGGGTAGGGTATGGGGGAAGGGTCACCGAAGTGGATCGGTTAACCGGACCACTTTAATTTTGATTTTAGTGACACCAATAACGTCGATTTGAGGCAAATACATAAGAGACCATTACTCATTTTCTATTCGTCACCTAAATTCACAACAAAAACATAAATGATGATGATACTGATGAAAACCGGGTCATTTCCAGAGAAAAAGCTTAACAAAACCGCTTATCATGACAGAAATGTTATTAGCAATACTATCTGACTACTTTTAAAACAAATATCCCACTACTTTTACAAATTTCAGGTCGATTTCGGAAGGAATTCGCTCGAGTCGTCTGTTGCAACGTCAGCACTCGTGGTAAACACGGTAGTGAAATCAGTCGAAAACGAACTACCTCCGAGCGACTGATACACTTCGCGGAGACATCCCGGGTGCCGCGGAAGTCCATACTTTGATCGGTTTCGCATCCTCTCTGGTGCACAGATTCAGCGGCTCCTCGTTGTCTTCCATTTTGATCTCCATTTTGATATCCGTCTTCGTTCCCGGTTCGCTGGAGACAGATCGTGGTGAAAGAATGCTCACCGGTGGTTTCTCCAAAAGCGATGCGATCGACGCATGTCGTTCACGGAACGAACGCACCGATGGCGGTGACACTTCTACAGAACTGGGCGTCGGTAGCGGAACGCATGTCGGTATCGCCGACGGTGTACGGAGACGGTCATTATGCCACATGCGTAGAGTGCGGACGTCAGCAAGAAGTGACGGTGCGACGGCTAACGTCGCTGGGCCACCAACTCGAGCCATCAGCCACCAGAGACGTTCGACTAGACGTGTCGACAGAGACGGCAACGGAAGAAGAACGTCCTGTTGGCAGACCGCCAAAGCGGCCAGCAGCGATGCACAGCCGGCAGGTAACGTACGAAGACGATGAGCGAAGTGGACCAACGAATGAGCAAGGAGAGGTGATGTCGGTAGGGCAGCATCTTGACCATTGTTCCGAGTCGCCGATGCCAGCAGCAGAACATCAAACACGCAACTCTGAAAACGATACATCTCTTGTTTACTCGTACGGGTGTTTAGCGCATAAGCGCTACGTTATGATAGGTATTATACATATGATATTTGATAAAAATTTTAAACTGTTGATTCTTGGTTCGCTAGAACAAGAACTGAACTAGGAATTATCCCCTCCACAAATCAAACTTATCCACTACACCAACAAAACTCCCCTTCCTTAAAATGGTAATTATGTAGGACCCAAGAAAGAAACTTCTCAAGCGCTACCACACCTTCTTTCAGATGACTAAATCCCCTACTCGAAGTCTAGAACAGATTCGCAGTTGCCCAACGTGGAATACGCTGGCAGGGACCCTGGAGCCCTAGGGTAACCCAACTAATTTGTAATTGAACCGGGTGCAACATGAACCCCTTACCGGAATTCATGATTTTCGGCGTCTTTGCTGACCCCAAGCTTCACATAATATGTACATCATCCTGGACTCCAACACTTTTTCAAATTCACAACCTTCTTGAAGATTAGCCCAGTCAAAACCAACTAGTTGTTGTTGTCAAATCGTTCTCCAATTTTATGTTTCGGAGAGGAACTCCCTTTTGAGTTTTTCCCATTAGTACCGTTGAAGGTCCCAAATCACTTTTCACGAGCTCACCTTAAGAAGTTGAATGCGATCCGTCTGGGCGAGGCAAAGAAATCCAGGGATCGTGTTGGCGAAATCGACGACGCCCTTGATTGCCGTCAGATACGAGTGAAACTGCAATGGGCAACGACCAGTCGGCAACGGAACGACACAGGACTCGATCTGAAAACGGTAAAGCATTTTGAAAACGGTTTAAAAAACAGGACCACAAAATAGCTCAATAAAAACCAGTTGTGATTGTTATGTTAGAAGCCCAAATAGATTGGTGAGAACGGAAAACTACGGAAAGTTCTGAATTGCTCCACTGATCATCAAGATGGAGTGGTTTGTCATGAGCAGGAAAACAGGGGAAAGGAAATCAGTATCAAACTCTTACATAAATTCAAGCTCACAGGTCCCTCAGTCACGTCCTGGAGCCTAGAGCTTCCTGTATTGGAACACTTCTACGTAGCTAATAGATAGCTCTCCCTACTACACACTAAATCGTAGGCTAAAGATTCAGTTATATAGAAAATTACGTTTTATGTAATGCCCGACGAGCCAACGCTGTAGGACTCCCCTTAAATGGCTAGGATACGCCATGACCTCTTGGTTCTACTCGAAATAGTCGCAATATTCAGGTGATTGGGCCCGTACAATGAACTGCATAACCTGAGTCCTTCAGCTACGGCACTAGGAAGGCTTATTCAACCTCACATTCATTCATTTGAAATGCTGTCTACAATATCATTGCGTAATCAGAAAATGTGCGATAGTAGCACGAGTTGCTAGTAGCCCTCCCCCTCCCCCTTGTGTTCACAACCCGTTCTGAAAGGGTGCTGCTTGAGAGGCATTTCAAATGAACGCTCACTGATTAGCCGCACCTATCGGCCCGTCGTCCTTCCTCCCTGTCCCTGCCTTAGCTGCTGGGCCTCGCTACATTACTATGCCCCTGGTGGACAAGCTACTTTGTGATCCAATCTATTCCTCCGACTCAACCAAACAATGAAATGAAACCGACCGTGCCGCAGAGTAACGTGAACGCCGCTGCGATCCTTTCAATAGCGTCTGCCTCGTTTTCGAACTGAACGGCCAATGCGTCGAGCTGCGATTGAGCCGATGTTCGCTGCATTTCCTCCACCATTTTCGCTTTTTCGCGTTTTGGCACACGTCCAAAGCGAACTGCTGAAAACAAAGTGCTAAAAATCAACACTTTTACACAGCTCAACCAACTTGGCATACAATCGCGAGATCATTCGTCAAAATTAGACATTCAGTCGATCCAATGAAACAAATCTCATTTAGAATGACTCCTGGCTTTACAAGAAAAAGTACTTTTGCTCCTATTTGGGAATTATCGAAATTTACAAAAAGGTGAAGGAAATTTTGCCAAGAAATACCCAATTATTATCAGCCGACAAATTCGCGAGAGAACTCCTTCGACTCAGCAATCGAACGTCCTCCAAAACCCTCAACTGTCCACTTGAAACGAACCCCGTTGTCCTGGAACGCGATGGTCCTTCAGTATGACCTTCCTTGACCGATTTAGTGTTAACCTTGAGCCCGCTAAAAGTGACTGGTTTCGATTCGCTTTTAGCGCTTCTAACCCGCAACCCCCATCATCGCGGCCGATGTAACCTTCGCCCGCATTCGGCCCCTTTTGCTTGCTTTATCGTCGCACAAATTCCTATCTGACGGGCACATTGCACAACTGCTGCAGCCATCCAAAGTGATTTCGATCTGATTCGCAGTTGAGCGTCAGTTTTTTCGCCGACGTTCGGCATTTCGCGTTCGTCCTTAGTCGAAAACACGATCAAGGTCTTTCCCAATTAGCATAAAGGAACTAGCACTAACGCTGTCAAGGCCATGCTCGAACGACAACTACTCGCGCTCGACATTGGTTGGCGTCGGTCCGTGTATGAAGAGCTGGAGAATGTGGAGGACTCGGACAGGGCAAGAACGACGATGAAAAAGAAACGACGACGACGTCTGACGAACGCTACCGTAATCTCCCGTCGCTCACATCGCTGCGGTCATTGCCGTAGAGTGAAATTAGGCGTGCAAAGCCCTTGCGTGCGCGTTCGTACAGACCGCTTTCCCGCGCGAACTCCCAAGTTTCAGGGTTCTTGGGTCATTGTTACCGACGCTTTCGGTTTAAAATTGCCGAAACAGCAAGGAAGGAAAAGTGGGACACACAAGTCTTTAGCTGGACACTGTGTAAGGGGACCACAAACTTATCAAAAATAACTTTTTCTTTACCATGAACTTTGAGGAAGGGTACTACAGAGTATTGATAACAATAGTGACAAAAGGCATCATACTGTGAACAAAAGTATGATTCAAACGATCAAGTTCAGACTGGCTACACCCCTAAATCAGCTACACTATAACTGACTTGCCAAGGGCCCAAGCTTAGCCCAACGGACGGAATATGAGCCTTGTGTTCCTTTTCACACTCACAAATCAAAGTGCCCACTCCGAGGTATGGATTAGCACCCAATAGTCAGGTGCATGGTGCATCCTGAAGATATTGCCTGACGCAAGATGAAATTTGTCCTGTGATACATTAAATTAAGAAAAAGCGACATAATCAATCGAAAGCACTTTCAGAGGATGGGAATGACGGAGCGATCGAATACTCCAAGACGCGCCGTGCACAAAACCTTTACTCAAAATTGCTAACAACTCGGAATCTATACAATATGAGAAAATCGAATCAACATTAACTACCTATAATATTATACTTTGAGAATAGAGCGCTTCAACAGAGCCAGGAAACGGACCATGATTCGAAGCTGTCGATGGAAGATGTGCCGTAATACAATCCTCACCCCCTCCCCCTCCTCCTCCCTAAAGCCAACAACGAGGAAAAAAGGATAAACATGAACCTGAAAAGGTTTTTCAGAGATCTAATAATTCGGATGATGACGAGAAGAGGCTCATCCCGAAGTATTAGGTAGCAGGTGGCATCAACCGGCAGTTACCAGTAGGACTTTCACAAATGAGGTACCTGAGCCCTTATATGACCTTCCAGCTGGTCTCTTCGAAAGTTGCACCCCCTAAAATTCCTTCCATGAAAACCACATAAGCATACAGTAACAACGAAAGCAAAAATCGAGGCCAAAGCCGAATTTCGCAGCCTATTAGCATAATCTCCTACAGTGATGGGCACATTTCAATTTCACATGTCGAGGCCGATCGGGGGATAGTTCGTCGGAAAACTGCTAGCGCCGTGACGCCGCCAACGAAACGAGGAGAAAAGGATCGGCTAGTCGTAGACAGAAGCGAATGCAGGAAGTGAGCGTACGTTCAGTTGGAGGGCAAAGGAGACACGATGCACCCACCTATGCGACACGACGGCACAAAAACGCCCGATAGTCCTTCACCGAACGGCCAACGACGGCCGACGTGGACGGATCGCTAGCACCGAAAAGCATAAATCGAACTCATGCGGTAAAACTGTAAAATTCGTGACCTTCCTTCCTTCTACGGCGATGTCGACGTCACGTAATCGCTTCATCAGTAATCTGTCAGTAACCGAGCGCCGTTGAGCGACAATCATCGTTACCGAGCTGCAGACCGGAACGAAAAACGGCGAAAACGATTTCATGGCACTGGGTTTGAAGGGTGAGGAAAGGCCACGCGCGAACGGAAGGTACGGCCAGTTCGGGATGTGCCTTTGACAACTCTCGCGTAGTCCTGGTGGGTTCAGAGAGGATGCGGCAAACCACCACAGTCATGAAAACTTCCCCGGAGATCGCTCCAGCCATTGTCAAAATCCCTTCCACCATGACGCTCCAACCAACGGTTTGACTTTTTGGAATGACTCCCTGAAAACCTATCACCAATTCTATGCAATGCCTGAAAACGAAACCGCTTTCGCAGCTTTCACATTTTCAATGAAATCCTCAATCCCATATGGCAATTCGCCAAGCCTCAGTCGTACAGAGCAAATTTGAGAAGTTCGGAACTCGGGTAAGGGATAAGCCCGAATGAGGTATATTTGTGCTTAAGTTCAAAAACAATAGTAAAAGAGCAGAGCATTGCCTGCTGGACAGACCTAATTGAGTTTACAAAATCAAAATGACCGGTAAGATTCTAAAAATGTCCAGTTTGATTCAAATCATCGTTTTCTACCTGAAAGCATTCTCTTCAACAATAGCCCTTGATCACTAGGTGTTACGGCAACCGGATTCCACATGAACACTTTCGTCCAAAGAAAGAAATCAGGGCCACAACAAAGAAGCCTTTGCCACATGGCCCGAGCCACTATGACTGACAAATGGGCCCAGGCGTGCGAAAAACAGCAACGAGCGAAAGCACCAAAATGCGATCTCTTTAGGACTGTCTTCGCCACATCAAAGAATTACATTGGCGTTTAACAGACCCGTTTCTGGGATGAGCCATGAAGTTTGACTTCTACTCAAAACCTCGAGGCGTTTGATGCTCCCACCCAAAACAGTTGTAGTATTTAGGAAAGTACCAAGTTAAGACAACTACCAGTGAAGGCAACCGATGATGGCTCGAAGTTTTCGTCCTCCCAGCCGAAACATATACCAATTATCTGATCCAGAAAAAATAAACAGTTACCCTTTGACTAGGGAACATCGAAAAGGGCCATTACAGTGCCTTCGCCATGGCTGCAGAGAAATATGTGCGGACCTGAGTACTACAAGTACTTATAAATTCACGTTTCCGGGATGCGCCATGCATGCGCTACCCTCTTATAATCATAGACACATCACAGTGTCCTAGTAACTGGCTCGAATGCACTAGCAAGTGTCCAGAAAAGCAAATTTCCAACCTGAACCGATCACACCGGAATGCCCATTTCAAAGAGCTGCAAGCTTCGGTTTGCTCGAATGTCACCTCATCCTAAGAACCATGCAAGGACAAGGTGCGGCGTTTCTTTCCACTGCGCCACTTTCGATATTGACTTAGTCGGAGTGCTTCAGGGAAGATCTTATCGTTTTAAGAGATCCAAGTCCCACTCTTACCAACTAGTGGTAACCTCAACCTCTCAATCTCTTACGCTGCATACCCCCGCATTGTTTCAGCAAGACATCTTCCCTCAACTCAAATTTCGAAATAAATTAGGCTTACCGTCTCTGGACATGCCGACCATGATACACTTCTTCAGGCGGCAGTACTGACAGCGATTTCGATTGTTTCGAACGATCAGACATTCTTGACTTCGTGTGCAGGGACGATATTGGATTTTCTGCTGGATCGAACGACGGAAGAAACCCTACAAAATAAAAATAGTGGGTGGTTCCATTGAGAGCAACAATTTTCCTCCCGATTCATTCTGAAACAAAGCAATCACCTCCTAAACTCAAGAGATTTAACTTTCGCGTGAAATTCCACAAGTGCATTGACCTTACGAATTTCGTCAGGAAGTGCTTTAATTCGGAAGTGAAAACATTGACAACTTCCCAACAGGGACTATTTCAAAGAAAAATATTTTAAAAAAATTTTGAACGAAGTTGAGGCTTCTACAAACTTCAGTGAACAGTCTTGTACGAGACTGCGGAAGAACAGGCCCATTTTATCTTTTTTTTACCTCGAGATATGCTTTTCTGCTCAATTTTGATTTCGAAAATAGATTTCTGCCGGAGATTTATTTACAGCACAACTATTGTTGAATTCCAAGATTAAGTTTCCCAAAAGTTAGACCGGCTTTGTCTGTTTCACTGAACAAACACATTGTGAACTTTCTTATTTCGAATGTAACGTTTGCATGTCGCATCCCGAACTGAGTTGACATCAGCAGTTTCCTTCTGATCCCCTACTTGTGCTCTCGTTCATAACTGAAATGCTTCAGGACCTCGGTCGTGAACCACCCATAGACGGACATAGACGGACTAGGTTGGGCAAGTTGAGGGCCAATGGGCCGGGAATGAAGTAACCATCTCAGCCATTGTACAATCTCCGACCCAGAGATGATCACACTGTCCACCTACTCATTCCCAACCGGAAAGAACTTCCGAAACAGCCCTGGGTATGCCCCATAAGCAGCTGCATCTCATTTCGACCCCTCTCCAAAAATGACCCGATCAGGTCGCATAGCAGGTCGGCCCCATGTGCCTTACCCGTAATCATCCCAAATATGAAAACCGGACTCCCGTGCCTCACATTCTGCGATGGCATATGTGAAATTTGGCAGCGGTAAATAGGTACTGTTGGGACTGGCCTATATAACGAGGCGCTGCGACATTGACGATTACCTCGATAGGCAGCAACGAACAAAATCAAAGCCACAACGACGACGATGACACGCAACCTCTACACATCAGATAGAGTTCATATTCGAAGGTCACCAGGACTTTGCAAATTCCTTTTGCGAACGTTCACACCACGCTTTCAACAAAAAACTCTGACATTTGCAAATCTTTCAAATCACTTGCTAAGAAAGCGAGACAACAAAATCGGTCCGCTCCCGTTTTTCTCTTAAATCGGATGGATGAAAGTCANGGGAACGCTCAGCATTGCCTAGCCGTCTGAAATCAGTGACAAATCGCATAAGAGTGCGCCATTCATTCAACTACCACCAACAATCGCCGACTTATTCAGATGGGTATTCACACCCATACACCATAAATCAAGACACCTGACAAACTTTGATTCGGTATCCGTGTTCTCCTGGGTGGGCAGGCCTATAATCAATCAAACCCGAAAATACAAAAGGTGGACTGACCTGGGGACGATTCAGTACAGAGGTCAAAGGGGAACATTGCTGTTTCAATCACCATTCGACAACCTACCTCTACCTCTAAAAAAAAAGGGGGTACGATGAAATTGAGCAGTTTATCTAGTTCCCACCCCGTCTTCTCGGAAATTCAGCCCTTGTCGGAAATCCCACTCAAAGTTACCGAATCACTCTTCTCCCTACTGCAAATCCTATCTTTTGCTCAGGGTGGAGGTAGCATAGGGCAAGTGACGCATACCGTCAGATGTACGTTCTGGGATGGAATCCCCTTATCACCTGGCCAAGGATCGTTTGAGCTCTCCATACCTCCAAGGTCGAAATTAGTAACAGACGATCTGAAAGGATGTCTTGTATATTGGCTACAGTGTGTGGGCATTGTATAGGCCACATGCTTTAAACCGCCATTACGTTCCTGTACGGAAGTCAAATGCAAGGCGCATCCCCAGCGGAATAGATCAACGTCAAGAGGCTTCCTCCTTCATCATTTTGCTTGCTTTCTTATCTGAACAATTCAACCCTAGCCATGTCCACTGTGCATGTAGAACCTTGCCCCCCCCCCNCCATTACGTTCCTGTACGGAAGTCAAATGCAAGGCGCATCCCCGAAGGCTTTCTCCTTCATCATTTTGCTCTCTTCCTGATCTGAACAATTCAACCCTAGCCATGCCCATTGTGCATGAAAAACTTTGACCCATAATCCCAGACCCTTTCCAGGCCCTATGGTATGACATCACGTAGACCCTACTCCAGGAAAGTGGCCATGAGACAGTGATGACGACACGACGGCCGCAAACGAAAACATATCGGGGGAGTGTGCTAAATGTGAAACGCCACACAAGAAGAATGTCTCGGCGATTGTGAGTTCTCGCTGCGATCTTTCTCTCTCTCTTCACTACATCAATCACTACTTGCTGAAAGAGTAGCGAGCGAAAACGGCTTGTGACCCAGTTAGCGCTCAAGGAGACAACGAAGACGACGTGGCTTACATTACACATCAAAACTCCTACTAGCGTACCAGTTGAGCAGAGAATACCCCGAGGAGACAAATCCGAGCCAAATGGTCCTTCCAGAACCCCTCGAACCATCAACTAGCAGATGGCCTGAGTTTTTGCTTGGCGTTCTCTCCCCAAACCACCACCAACACATCACTCTTCGCGCACTTTAAGAGTCCTTTACCAGTCGAACAACGATGTACACCTGCACTTAACCTTGTTCAACGTTGCCAACAAGAGCGTCAGTGGCCACACAACACTCGTGCGAGCGCTTGCTGGCGTCGGCGATTGCTCGGGCGTTTTTCGTTATACCAAAAACCTACGCTACATAATGGAGGCCACGAGAGAGAGAAAGAGCGTACAGTGGATGGATGGATGGCATGCGAAAACGCTGCGACGTAAGCGGGCGCAAGCATCACACACACACACTACCCTCGCCGCACACCAACCAGTTCTCTAGAGGGCAGCGGGACACCACGGACGACATCGATGCCTCTGGGACCGTACGTGAGAGCAACTAAAGATCGAACACACCCACACCATGGCTACAGTACTCTTCAAAAATACCCTACCCGATGGGAACTTTCGAGTGGCTCAAAATGGAAAACTGATAGTCTGGTAAACTCCGTTCTGTAGTCTCTAATATGCAATACAAGGCACGCCCATGGTCACGATTTGAATGCAATTAGTTTTTACTAAATTACAATCACATTTAATCAGAAAGTACATTTATATTTGCCCCATCCTATGTACTATAGTACGATGGCCCCAAAATTCAAGTTAGGGACTCCAAACCGATGCGGATCGAACCCCCACAGCCCTCCAATGACACCTGCAAATGATCCGGTACTCTGGTGGCGATATTTTGAGGACATACGACATGAATGGTGATCNTCCAAATCTCCCCCTATGACCTGAAACCCGTCAAATGCCCCCAATTACTCTGGAGAGAATACAAATGCACGGCGTACTGTAGAGCTGCTTTGACTACCTTTTTAGTAGAGCATTCAGGGAAAGTACAATTCAAATTGTGAGATTTCAAAAAACGTAAACATCGAAAAGCGAGCTTTTCACATCGAAAAGCGAGCTTTTCTTAAAATTCCCTCAACGCAGGGGTATCCTTCACCACCAAATATATTCGAGTTGAGCTAATGTCTGCCACAGATGTTTATTCTTGCTACTGGTAAGAAAGCCAGGATTGAATCGAGAATTCTAACTTTTCCAACATTTTAACTTAATTTATTTACCTCAACAAAGAGTTTTTCTAACTACAAATTTTTCAATCAGGATGCAAAGCGAGAGCACGGCGCAACCCAAGACGAGGCCCAGAGGCCTGTTTACTATCAGATTTTTGGATGAGCAGAAAAAAAGCATTAAAGTTTACCTTGCATCCTTCACAAGCGAACACTCCGTAGTGAAATCCACTTGCTTTGTCCGAACACACTTGACACAGCAATGTTGTCACCGAGAACTCCTCACTGCCGGCTGAAAATAGGAAAAAATAAATTATCAAAAACAAAAAATGACAAAATCCGCTCTCTGCAGAAATCGATTTGGACCACTGCCAACCACCCGCCCATTAACCTCCGAAAGTACATTAGGGGTGTGATTGTACGGCGATAATGAGCTTGTTTGGATCGTTGGGCTACAGCGACGATAACGTCGTCCTGAACCTCGCCAGAAAATTCAAAATTTCGCTCAGTTGCACATGACACATCGGGGACGGTTCGTCATGGGTTTGCAGTTGACGGGGTCATTGGGAAAGATCTCGTGATTCGCTTACTTTCGCACCCGCCGCGCCACTAAAGTGGGAAAGCATCGTCCCACACAATGATCGAACAAAGAAAGCGTCAAAGACCTAAGAGGGCAACACATCCCGACTGACCCGTGTTTCACTGATACAGTAACCTACACCTACGAACAACCTACAGTACTAGTTTTTGACATCGAACCAAAAAATGCACTTTCTTTAGTAACAGAGGCAGAACCGGAGAAGGTCAGCACATGTAGCGTAGACAACCTAGGATACGCCACGGACTCAAATTTTTTCGTAATCCTGAGGGGATGACTCCGAGAAGTTATAACGAAGCCTACTTTATCCATAACCCTTCACCCACCCAAACCATTCTGGTATCGGACAAGAAGGGATGGGAGGCTTGGTTGACCTGGGCAGTTTCCGATCAACAGGCCCCCGTAATGTTAGCAGAGTGCTTAGCCACTAAAACACCTTTTTCGCTTTTTTTTT